CACTACCAAATAAAAGGGAAGGTAGGAAAGCTCTGTCTCACACACGCTCGCCAAAATCGCTCGAAAAACACACTTAAATACTTCCCCTTGAATCGAAACTTGGCAGCATGAAAGCCAAATAGTTGCCCTTCAAGTTCACTAAAAACATCCCACAAAAGTTGGGTTGTCGAGCAACCAGCCCAGCGAAAATCTCAAATTGACCGCTATTTCAACGCCATTAGAATGCGCGTCCGTCAAATCCTGTGCAGTCAAAAGTTCGTTACGACGCGGTCGGCTTAGAAACTAGCAAAATTAAGCCCAACGAGTAGGCCCACGATATGAATGAATAGTCAGTTTTGGTTTTGCTAGTGTCCCAGTTTATCGTTTGCTGAAGGGAAAGAAGAGGAGAAGAATAAAGAAAGTGGAAGTCATCTTCATTACAAAACAATCACTTGAAATTATTGCCTTTACTCAGTCAAACTCGCTCTTTGTCACAGCTTCAGTCTCCCGCTAAAGGAGACAAATACAAGGGGAAAGATTATTTCAAAGCACCAAATGAGGTTTTGAGTTACAGAGAAAAGCTCTGTGGGCCTTTGGCGAAATTTATGACATGGTGAAAGGAGAATTTCGTGTATTCAGCTGGATGGTTGCCCAATTTTACACAATAAAATTGCTGAAAATATTTAGTTTTGTAAACATTAAAGCAAAGATTATATTGACGTAAGACATGTTTTGGCTTCAAACAGGTTTAAATGATTGTTAAGAATAGCGACGTCATTCTTCGCACCGACGAAGGGCTAACGCTCGAAACGTTAGCTTTTGTAATCGTTACGGTGGCCAATTTACCATTTCAACTTAGTTGATATATCCAAATTCTTCACTAATGTCAAGTCATTAAGAGCGCTCCACCACAGTGGTGAAATAGGAAGTAAAAAAAGGAACATCTCCATATAAACTGTTTACTGCGTTGATAAAATGGAAACATTTCTCTCCACACTAACTTCCCTTAATTTTATTTGATGTATTTAAAAAGTAAGTTTATATTGTTGTTGTTAGTTAAACATAAACTTTACTTGTGTGACTTTACTGACAACAACAATTCGCTTGACTCTGATGATGACTTCCTCTCAGGTTGTCGAAACGCGAGTCACTAACTCCCAACAACAGTCCGTCCCAGGACTACACTCACCTTGACGGTCAGACTACACTGTCCTATCTTTCTGTTCTTTGCTTGTGTATTAATCAATTTTTATCCGCGTGACGCATGGGCAACATTTCCAGCAAAAACGATTGGATCCTCGTCGGTATCTGAGCAACTGCACACCTACCCCTCCTCTAAACCAGAATGAACCCTTATTTGTTGACTGCTGCTGGGTTAGGGGAGGGGTGACTCCGCAGTTGCTCAGGTAATATAACATTGAATCAAAGATTTCATGCATTTGAAATGGTTTAACGTCACTGAGGAAGCCTTCATCGTGAATTATCATTAAGAAAGTATGGTTTAAGTAATCGTGGCTGGGCGGGTGTTAGCAGGACGACATATATCTCGTTGCAGTCCTCGGTATCTTGCAAGAGAGGAAACGACAAACAACGGCAGAACGATGGCGGCAAATAATTTAACAGGAGAAAGAACACAAACGAAAACATTTCAAGAGCTGCGCTGCTCTCCTTCCTTAGCAGATGGATTACAACAACAGTCCATTTACATTGCAACAGTCAACATTTTTCTCTCCGTCTCAGCATTAATCGGGAATTCTCTTGTCCTTGTTGCTCTTCGCAAGGAATCTTCCCTCCATCCGCCATCCAAAGTCTTGCATCTTTGTCTGGCAACAACCGATCTGTTGGTGGGTCTGCTTAGCCAGCCTTTGTATGCTGACCATTGGATGTCCTTGGTTCAAGAACGCTGGAGTCTTTGCCGATTTGCATTTGAGGCAGTCTCTATGGCAGGTTTCACTTTATGTTCAGTGTCTCTGTTGACGATGGCGGCCATAAGCGGGGACAGACTTCTCGCCCTATTGCTGGGCTGAGATACAGACAAATCGTATCATTGAACCGCACTTATACCTTAGTAGCTATCTTCTGGGTGCTATCCAGTGGCGCTGCGTTATGCTACTTGTTAGATCACCGCTTAACCATTTGGTATGTAAAAACTACTAGGATATTTGGCCTTATAATCCCAATCGCCTCGTACACAAAGATTTTCCGCACCCTCAGTCATCGTGAGGCTCAAACACAAGATCATATTCAACAACATCCAAGCCAAGCAAATCGACTGAACATAGCACAATACAGAAAAGCAGTGCACAATGCCCTGTGGGTGCAGTTGGCATTAGTTTGTTGTTATGTACCTATGAGTATGGTGGAAATTGTAACGGATTTTAGTAACACATTTTCATCACATTTAATAGTTATTAGGAGAATAGTAGTTACTTTGGCTTTCTTTAACTCAACACTGAACCCGTTTCTTTACTGCTGGAGGATCAGTGGAGTGAGACTGACAGTAAAGCAATCAATTAGACGAGCACTTCGCTGTCCATGAAGTTAGCTTCTCCTCGAGTTATACTCGTGCTGTTTTTAAAGCTGGTTTAAATAGTCTCATCTATTATTAGAGAACACTCGTTGTACAGGAAGAAACGAGAAGCTCAACTGATAAAAATCGTCATCAAGAGGAGTCGAAAAGACTTAACGTCCTCANTGTTGTTATGTACCTATGAGTATGGTGGAAATTGTAACGGATTTTAGTAACACATATTCATCGCATTTAATAGTTATTAGGGGAATAGTAGTTACTTTGGCTTTCTTTAACTCAACACTGAACCCGTTTCTTTACTGCTGGAGGATGAGTGGAGTGAGACTGACAGTAAAGCAATCAATTAGACGAGCACTTCGCTGTCCATGAGGTTAGCTTCTCCTCGAGTTATACTCATGCTGATGTTTTTAAAGCTGGTTTAAATAGTCTCATCTATTATTAGAGAACACTCGGTGTACAGGAAGAAACGAGAAGCTCAACTGATAAAAATCGTCATCAAGAGGAGTCGAAAAGACTTAACGTCCTCAGTCGTGTTTCATGTTATCCTCTCTATCAAGGATACAACAACTCGTGACTGAATCAAAAAATATATATATATATATATATATATATGCTTACATGTTATAGAAACAAACTTTGCAACTTTCCCAGCATAAAAGCAATAAAACTGCGAATGGTGGAAAGGGAGAGGAAGTTACAAGTTATTTGACGATAGTGCACAATTTCAAATTTTCACCTAAGAATAAGGTGGCGTCATAATCCCGTTCAAGCGGGATTACTAACCAAACCAACGACTCGAATTTGTTTGCAGTATTTTTTGAAACTTACGAAAGTATAAGGGGTGTTTTTGTCTTGTAATTGACATGTAACTGAGCACATGAAATAAATTTGTATATGTAACACTGGAGAGCTCTTTAAGATCGATCATTTTGAGTTCCGAATTGAATGTTACCGGAGGAAAATGGATATCGAGGGAAAAATAAAGTTAATGTTCAATAAAAATGGTTTCTTTAAATCCAGTATGTCACTGACATATCTAAAAATTGTTTCTGAGCTATAAATGTTCTATGTCTGGGACTTCCGGCCGACTAGCTTTCCGCGTTTGCATGAAATTAATGATCTGCTGTTTTTTTAGGTCTCTCTAAAAATCCTTACTACAGACAAAAAATCCAGAATTTTCTAATAAACAGGAAGAGTTTTGCCATGTAATTACCTGCTTTCTAAACTACTTTGCTTATCGTCCAACTACAGTCAAATAACTAGTAACTTGGAATTCCTCTCCCTTTCCACCATTCGAAGTTTTATCGCTTTTATGCTGGGTAGTAAAAGAGTAGTAAAAGAGTTTTCTCTTATCGTATAGTTCAATTACGATACAACTGATGTCTTTATGTTTGCCGACTATACTTTGCAAAATACCTTATTTATACTTAGATTCAACTACGCCAAATGAGATAAACAGCTGGTTGTGACCTACATGTTAGGGTTAACAGTCAGATAGCCAAAATATTTACGATCAACCGTCAAATAGGCAAGATCTTCCAAGTAGCACTAGTGTCAATAAAGCCACCATTATTAGCCGCCAAATCTCTTAGAAGGTCTCAATGGGGTAATGGCTTTTACAGCTGAAGGTTTTGAAACATCTTTCCGTTGAAGTTAACTGGAAATATTTTACAATCAATTTATTTTTTCGACTGACGGTTAATTTTTTGCTGTTTTACGGCTAACATGAGTTACACCATTGAGATCGTCCTCCTAGATATCCATAAGTACGAGAACTACATTGAAGTCAAGCTCCACGTTATGAAAGTAAACGGCACAAAATTCATCCTTTTTCAGATCCTTTTTCAGATCCTTTTCTGATAAATTCAGAGCTAAAGAACAGAACGGACTTCTCTCGGGAAACACTCCAGGTGCCGTCAAACGTATCTACAAATCTTCCTTTTTGTTTTCTCCTAAGTTTTCTGCTTACATATTCGTAGATTTAGTTATTAAGTATTTTTTTATCTAAATAATTTACGAGGGATCCGCTGTAATTGGTTAGGCTGTAGTGGTCTCCCTACCTAATAACTTTTTTTTTTTTTTTTACAAATTGTATTCTAGTTTGGCAAAGCTAATTGAATAACTGCGCATGTTTGAGTGATGAGGGTTGATATGTTACTAACCGTTCCACATCAGCGAGTCACTCGGCCTTTGCCCCTACTATACAATAAAAAAAAAAAAAAAATTTTCAACCTTAAATAAAAAAAAACTAACTCATTGAGCGACACTAAAAACCTTTTAGTTGTGATAAGATTTCAAATACTCAACAGTGTTTTGTCTATCTAGGACAAAAATATTCAGAAAGTTCAAAAAATAAAAAAGTTGAAGCCCGTATATACATAAAAAGATAGCATTAATTGCTTTACACTTACGCAATACACTTCGCCTGCGGATTTGCGCATAGGAAATAGCCAAAATAAGTATGACTGAGAATTGTTATGTGAGATATGCCCATGGCTTGGAGTAGTGTTGGCGCTTTCAAGTTATGAAAAATTCAAGCAGTAAAATTAACAAGCAACCGTCAAATTATTTACAAGTGCAACCGTCTCCCGCAAGAAATAAAACTTCATTCATGGGATTCTACCCTGAAACACTGGAAGGATATCTCGACACATTTACTTATCGTACCGCTTGTATTTTAAGATAACGATTCCTCGTCTTATCTCTATTTCGAAAAAAAAAAAATAACCTGCCATGGTACACTCATGGAAAACAAATTCGGCTCCCGATGAAAACCGTCTTTAAAAGAAAATCTCAACGAACTGGCAAGCTTAAAAGATTTCGATGAGAACAGGAAACATAGGGAATGAAATGAAATTGTTAGGCAAAAGTGATTTAAGTTGTTTTTTATTGAAGTAATACTTCATCACCTGTGGTTCTTCCTCAGGAAATAAAATACACCTCAAGGCATACGTTGAGCGAAAGAATTCCCGTGAAAGTCCTTGGAAGAGATATATAACGCGTGTAAAGCTGTTCCCTGATGTCACGTCTTTTCGTGGTAGGCGAGTCGAGCGTGCGTTCGAATAGTCTTCGAATATTCTTTTTAAATGACAAGTTATCTCTTCGCTAGTCGACCCTTGCAATTAATTTATGGTATTTTGTACAGAATAGTATTACAGTTAACTCCATTTTACACGGCGAAGAACAAAGCAATCACTATAAACCAAGCCTTTCAGCCTCTTTCGCTTCAAAGAATGTGTAGGAGAGAGTTATGGTGTCCACTTTAGCCATGGCAGGGTCTTCAGTGAATTCTGGATCAATATAAAAAAATACTGGCATATCCACCTGCCAATAAAAATTAAAAGTACTCTGATTAACATCAGACAGACTCTTTCAGAATAAAAACGTGGCCTCATTTTCCCATAAAACTTATAATAAAGAGTGGCTGGTCCATGGCAGACAGAAGCACTGAGATGGAAATTTACAATCACTGCCGCCAGGAGTGGAGCACGGCTCTCTCTATTACCATTGTTGGCAAGAGCCAACTCAAGACTCTAATTGCATGCAAGCTTTCACCAGCGTTACAACATGACTGGCAAATCCACGAAAAATGTCCTCTTTGCTGAAGTGTTGTAAAACACACAGCCATTGAAGATCAATGAAACACTTAAACGCCAACCACCAAACACACACTTCTCCAACATTGTATGGGAAAAGGTAAAATTTTCCAGTTGGCAGTTCTACACTACCATTTGAATGGGCTGGCATTTGGTGATATGCCACATTTTTTTTATCAGGATGGTCTCATTTTTCCTGTACCCCCCCTCCCCCCATTTCATCTGGGAAATGTATTCTCAGGGCTCGACACTAATTTTTCAACTTACTAGCCAAGTGGCTAGTGACATCTAAGATGTTTTCAGATGTTGCAACAATTTCAGTCTGTTCACTAGCCACACTGGCTAGTGGAAATTGAAAACCACAAGCCAAAACTGAATTTCTACTAGTCTGTGGCTAGTGGGCTACTGTTAGTGTCAAGCCCTGATTCCCACTGGAAAGACTATGAAAGTTTGACCTCACCTGCTCATGTGGATTCAGTCTCTGTTCCTCAAAGCAAAAGCACTGAGAAAAAAAAAATACATAAATCAATTTCAAAATAATAATGTTGGAAAGTAACAAATTCATACCAAGAGCGAGATAAGAGTAGAAATGAGACTTTAACCCTTAAACTCCCAGGAGTGACCAAAACAGAATTTCTTCTTACAATGTCAATACAGGATCACTTCAACGAGTGAAAGGAATAAAGAAAAATTTAAATCAGGGGATTATTTATTGCTCGAATACCAAATTCTCCAGACTAATGTAAAAGAAATTGTTTGGCTAATAGTAAAGAGAACTACTAATGAGGTCTGGGTGTAAGAAAGGATTGAATTTTAAGGCTTACCTGGATTTTGTTGAAATACTGCCCTGCTTCAAAGGGTATCACATTATATGTTGAAATTCCTGTAATGGGCTCATCAGTTGGGTTAGTAGCAGTGTAAAATGCCAGAGCTGTTTCCCCTGGTACAAGCTAGAAAGAAAATTTAACATTGCTCAAGGGCAAACAATGCTTTCATTCACATGATGGAAACATTATTTTGGACAAAGACACTAAAGAATTGTGATCTAGGTTCAAATGTACAAGTCAAAAGAGATGATAGCACCAAATAAATGAATCTCAAGTATACCCTGATAGCTGTCTGTTGAGGTCTGAAGTTCCATCGCATGGAAGCACTCCTATCTGCATTGAACCTGATCACTAACTCTCTTTCCGGCTTTCTTTCCATCTGCTCAATCTTCTCCCCAGACTCCTCTCTCTTCACTGTTCCACCTAACCCTGTTGCCTAAACAGAAAAAGTATCCTAAAAAAAACAATAATCCACCTACCATCTGTTATGACTGTGAAATTGAGTTAAAGATAAAATCGCATCATTGAATAAAATCTCACATTCTGATTGGTTTTCAAAGCGAGGTATTTAGCGTGGAATTGCAAGTCGAAAACCAGGCTAAGTGATGTTGTTTCGCATCTACATAATCATGACAATTTTAAGTAATGCTGTTTCCTTTTTTCACTCAATTTTATTCAGTTATGCAATTCAAGGAAAATCCATTACTTCACTCCTGAATTCCACATTAAATTGCACTTGAAAACTGATATCACACTCATCGCTTCGCGATTCATGCAATATCGGTTTTTGTGTGCAATTTAATGCAGAATTCCCTCAGCAAGTAATGAATTTTCCTATAGTATGTTTCTCTGACAAGGGCTGACACTCAATATGTCAGCTTTGGTATTTCCAACAATGGCTCATTTATATTATCAACTCAGTTGATAAAACCAACTGATCATGGACACAGCACCTCAGTTTCTTTAGCAACCTACCCCTTCTAAAGGGAGGGAGCCTTGGAGTGTTGGTTGAAGTGTTCCAATTCAAACTAGCTTAAAAATTTTTTACCGGAAACAAAGAACAGTATACTGACATGAAGAGTGCTGTGAGTGGGGGGCAACGCGGAAAGATTGTCCTTCTTCTCCCAACACTCTACTATTAGTAAAATATGTACTTGTTGCTTGTGGCCAGGACTATAACCGCTTACCTGACAGTAAAGACGATAAAGAGGTACAGCAAGGTATGATGCTCCCACAACTGTGATTGCTAAGGCTATTATATATATCGCTGTTGTCTTGTTTCGCGTACTAGAGGCCGAATGACCTTTCGAGCCGACACGAGTCACTACAAGACGGCGACTGACACCCCACATCAAACTTGGAAACATTTTTAAGCGCTTTGCTGGTCTGTAGGTAATTTCCTTTGTAACTTCAAGGTCTTTAAAGCATCTCGTGCAGATAACCCTGTTTCGCATTATGCTATGAAATCGTTCTCTCGCCATAGGCTTACAGAACGTTGAACCCAGATGGCCATAATGAAGATTCGAAACAAATCCCCTCTGGCCAGCGGTTCGAAGAAGCAACCAAAGCATAATACAAAAATCAAATCGATAAAACCACAATTTTGCTGTCTTGATGGAAGGTAACAGTTTTAACAACTCTATTCAAATAATTATGTCACCTAATTCCGCCATCTTGTATTTATGCCATAACAGAGTAAAACTGGGCACTACATATTTCGGTTTCCTTCCCAGGCTTTCCCGGCCCTGTTACCAGAGTACAGCCAGCGTATCTGTTATTTCGTCATTTGTTCTTTTTAAGCCGCTGTTCTACCAGAAGAGAGGAATTTAATTAGGTTCCTGTAACCGTGTGGCTGACAGAATATTTGGTCAACCTTCAATGTCAATATGCCCCCTGAAACTTCTTTTGGGTACCTTGCCCCCAACAATTCAAGCCTAGATATGGGATACCAATTTCACCACCAGCCTACTCTTGAAACCTTCCCTTCCATGAAGAGAAAAAAATCTGTCAATAGAAATTAAAATATTAGCCAAGACCAAACCATTGGAGCACTAAAACAACTTCAATCAACTGCATTAGCACTTTTCCTACAACAGCTCACACATACAAAGCCTATACATTTATTTCTCTCAAATGTGATATATATTAAATGACTGTTCATCCTAAATTACTTTTAATTTAGTCTAACAAATCTTTTTTTACTCTTTTTTTTAGTTACTTCAAACAAATGAATTGTACATTATCTTACAAAACAGTTGTATTTACATGTCATTAAGACCAAGACACAAGTTGTCTGAATAAATGATTCTACATGTTTTAAATAGCATATTTCTCCTCATCTAAGATGCAGCAAAACATGTCTTAATTTATCTTGACAGGGTTTATAGTTATCTGGTCACAACTGCCTAGCTATGAGATATTTTCCAGGGCACTGCACATGATTTCATCTTCTCTGCCGAACTCTTCATCTTCTTCTGAGCCCTCCTTTGATTGGTCAACCTGGTGATTAAATGGCAGAAAGTAAAGCATGAAAAAAATTAGAGAAAAAGGGATTATAAAAGAATCTGTCTTCAAAACACAAATCAAACCAATCAAGAACTTGACTAATCTTGCTTACAATTTAATTCTAGACTTGATTGCACAGATGCTTACTTATGGTGAATTGATCAAATTCGTTTCTTAAAAAGGTAATTATTGTGCATTTTCCATGTTTTCCTGATGGTCTTGGAATTCAATCCGCTACTAGATACATCTTATGTACACAAACACTGAAACTAATGTGCAGCCTATGTGATTCTTTTTCATATTCATACCTCCATTTTTTCAAAGGAGCTGTCCTGCTGTCTTGCACTTAACTGTAATGATGATAAGCTAGACTGAAGCATCGCCACCACTCTGTCCAAATGCCTGTGTCAATATAAACAGTTAACTGAAATTTAATATTCTCATTACTTGTCTGCTTGATATTGTATTGATAATGTAAGGAGAAATTCTCGCTTGGTCACTCCTAGGAGTTAAAGAGTTATAGTACATTAAACTGAACATTACTTGTTTAGTTTGTCTGCTGTGTCCAGTCTCTGCTGCTTTTGTCTTTCCATCATTACTCTTAATGTCTCCCGTGCCTGCAATGTGTCAAAATATTTAAACCTCATTAACTGAAATTACTTTTTCAGATTGAATGGCTCAGAGCTGAAGCACGACTAAAAACATTCTTGATAAATTCAATTCCACATAGAATGTACTCTAATTCACTTACTATTTCGACATAACCACAAGATATATATTTACACATGTTTATAGGTATGTATTGGTACAATTTAGGGAAGTAAAGCTACTAAGTGTCCTCTTGCCAATCAAGCTAGAAAACAGAGAATATATCTTACTAATATACTGCTTACTTCAGCAGGACAGATATCTACAGGTTTAACTGCAGAAATACTGATAGAAAAAAAATAACAAATCAGGCAAGTCAGTTGTAACTAATGTTCTACTATTAACCTGATGTGGCCTGAGTTCATTGATCAAGTGGTGAATATTAATAAATAGCAAGTTTAAGTCTTCTAGTTTTTCTTCTCTCTGAAAATAAAATCAGAAAAGGAGAACATTACATCAGGATTCCACCACAGCAAATAAAGTGTGAATAAAAATTATATTTTACTTAACAAAAGAAATCCCACCTTATGTTTTAAAATGAGTTAATAACATCTAATTTGTCAGGATGATACCTTACAGATGTTGGTTTGTAGTGACTGACAGTTTTAAACCACGGCTCAGTTATTGAAGGGACAAATAATTCTATCCAATGAAAAAATCGCTATCCAGCAGATAAGTGTTAACAAAATGTACTACAGTATCCAGTAGATAGAGATTATCCAGTGGATAGCATTATACAACCTTTGAAAAAGTGAGGCCAGGATGATTCTGTAAACACCTATGATAGTTTCTGACCTGATCACTTTCAGTCAAGTACATTGCAAGAGTACAAGAAAACCTGTGCAACTTAAGCCTTTGTTGGGGCAGACATACCTTAGGTGATGAAGGAGATTTAATGAGAATATCTAACAGCTCCAAGAAATTTATGACAATGGAATGATTTAGTTTTTTAAGCTCTTTGATACGATCTAAGGGAATAAAAACAATATTCAAAATTCTGCAGAAGAGAGAATAGATGAAATGGTAAATAGTAAGTTTCATTAGATATTAAAACAGTGCAGCACTTTAAGTTAAGAACGAAAATAATTTGAGTCTGTTCTTCCTTCCAAGAAGTAAGTACTTTTTAAGTAAAAGGATTTGGCTTGCACTTGTTATTCTCTAAAGACCAGTTGGCTTGTTAGCTCAGTTGGTAGAGCACTGTAACTCCTGTACAGGGCTGAATTATTCTCAGGCCTCATTTTCACAAATACATAATTAACAATTACTCCACGAGCGTGCGTTGGATATGAGATGATAGATAGCCAATGAGGCGCGTAGCTCCGAGTTGGCTATAATCATCTCATATCCAACAAGCGCGAGTGGAATAATTGTTTTATTAAAAACGTTAAATTAAATTATTAAATTTTATTAAATTTTTAGCTCCCTTTTAATTTTAAGCTGACACATATGCTTACCATATTTGTAGATTATGGTATATTGGCTGATATACCATAATGGCTAAGCCAATAAAAAGTCTTGAATTGCATTATCCAATTATCTAGTTTTTATTAATGTTCATTACTACGAAGATCACCCTCATATTCAGTTACTGTCCATAGTTTGCATTATATGTGATTTTCACAGTTATTTGTACCAATGTCAATTCTCATGTTATAAAAATACTGCACAAACCAAATCTTCCCTGAGTTGTATAAAGTCTAGTTATTCCCTGAAGTTCTAACGGTCTAATAATGGATTCGTCAGTCTGAGAAAAATAAAGAATAAAACAACATCAAATGCAAAATGAAAGCATTTACGTATTCTATCAAAAACACAATCTTAATGGCGAGCTCAGCACACTTGAACAGTCATCAAAGATTATAAGCGACAAAATAGTGGCTATAACATAAGAAAAGCTAGCTTCGTACTTCGTTTACCACCAAGCAGTTGAAAAAATTCGCGAGCAAAACTATCTTAGTTGGTTGGATCGTATATTTCGTATCCCTCTTTTCAGCAAAACAACATTCGATTATAAAAGGCAATACCTCAAAAGAAGCCCCAAACATAGCATAAGTTCCCTCAGCTGGAGTTGGTGGATCAGGCACTAATTGTTTCTCTACATTTTCATCCGTGTAAACCTTGTAGTATTGAGTTGGGGGAAGAGGAAACGGACAGACACCTTCTGCGGCCATCTTGAAAATGCTCACATGGCTGAAGTGGATTATGGGTAATATTTCTCTGTTCCAGTCCTTTCTAGCAACACATTATTTCTTGATTTGTTGGGCCAGCGAGCCTGAAGTTGTACAGTTCCAAGAATGTAAATTGTTTTAATGTGGCTTTTTCATAGAAGAATTATCCTTACTTCTAGACGTTTAAAGAAGTTGACCATTGTAGGAACAGGAAAGAGAGGTGCTGGGGTGCTTAGTTACTACAGTGTCTTCTTGAATTACTTCTGCTATTATAATAGTCCTTTTTTTAGTGGGTAGGGGGGACTCAGAAATATGCTTATTAGTCAATAATTTTCGATTACCATAGTTATATTTTCCTATTCTTTTCTCTCAAATCATGAGTCAGGGCTGAAGCAAAATTAGAGCTGGGTGTGGTTGGGTTCACAGGGAATATTTTGAATGGAAGTTCTTCCTTTCAAAAAGATGAAAAATAAAATGGCCGTGATCAGAAATTAGTTTCCATACAAAGATTCAAAGAAATATTTAGTCTCTATCAAATGAATAAAAAGAAAAATTAACAAGCTTTGCAAAGCCTATAAATTATGTTTTTTGATCGTGTTAATTTTTCAGGTATGGCCACAGCCACAGGCTTGGCTGCTAATGAGTGTCCATCTGTTAGGGTAATCATACAGCAGTGTCTATCAGCCAGACTACAGGTGCAACCACCAACAGAGACTGAAGATGCAAAATGGGTGGAGGTAAGTATGACAGCCTGCAAGCAGGTTCTAATAATGCATGCTAGAGCACCTGCTAAGCAGCTAACCCTATAACTGGCAAGATCTGATTGATTATTCTCCCCTCTACCTGCCACACATTTCCTTGTAAATTAGTTTCAAGAATTTGGTGTGAGAATTCAAGAATAACAACTTCTGCTTGATTAAGTTTGCATATTCTCATTACCTATTTGCTGGATAATATAGGGATATTAGAGGGAGAAGTTGCATGTTTATCACTTCTAGGAGTTAAAGGTTTTAGCTGTGAGAAACAGGAAGATGGAAGAGATGAGTTTAGGAGGGGTTGGCACTAAATTGAGAATGAGGCATTTGTGGTGAGCTCACTGTGTTCAGAAAGCAGTAGCAGTTGAACGGGCATTTGTTTCTTGTGTCAGGTCTCTGATAGACTTGTCATGTCATCTCTCAGAGATTATCTCATGCTGTTAGGCTTCACACCAGTTCATTTTGCTCATTTTTTGCCTCTTCCTTTTTGTGCTAGAAACACATCTGGTGCGTGGTCTCACAGAAAATCAATGTTATAGAAACATGCATCATTTCTCAAGTGGTAGAATTGCAATGATAAAAAAATAAGAAGTTAGTTTTCCTCCAAACATCAAATAATTGTATTCTGTGCTACATCATTTCAGCATTTCTCAGAACTGCTATTTATTTAATATTCTGTGTAATTTGGAGTTATTGGTTAAGGATATCCATTGATCTGCCATCTATACATTCAGATTTCCAGGGGAATTGTAATCTACCTGTGTTTTCTCAAAGGCTCTAACTTAAATATTCTGCCAAAAGTTGGTAAGTTAAATGTTATAAAATGGTAACATTTTTTAGTGGGATGATATATCTTTCTATGGGAAAACACATGTCCTTCAGCCCTCAATACTTAGGAAAGAATAATTAACACTGTAAGTTATTACTAACTTGTCATGATTAACAGCATGTCATATACATGAGTATCTTTGGGGTTGAATCACAATAATGTGGAGAGAAAATGGCCAAGAAAGAGTGTGGAATCTTACAGTCAATTGTTTTCCTTCCTGAATCCCATGACTTTTTTGCAAACCCCACATTTTGAATCTTTGGGCTGACTGACTGACGCACTCTGGACCTGTCTCATCTTTGTCAACAAAGATTGAGCACGAGGGGATGATGTGATAATCTGCATCAGCTATCATTGATCCTTTCATCATTATCACCATCATTATCATGGTCAACATCAGATGGAGACCCTGAGTATTGTTACAGGTAACCTCTGTAAAGGACTTCACAGGGTGGACCCTTTCTGCAGTACGATGTGAAGCTGTGGCTCATACAGCTGATTCAGTCTACTTAAATCTGTATCAATTGTTTATGTTTATCAAATTGAAGCTTTCACCCATATTTTTGTTTGATTGTCTCTTATTTGTATTTTCAATCAGTTAAGTCTATTTTGAATGTACGACTCAGTGAGACCACAAACCGACCAAGCAATGTGTCTGTTTTAGAGTTACCTGGTGATGTCCTTATTGTTCCACAGGTAAGTGATCAGCAGGGCAAGATCCCTACTGCCAGAGCTTAAATTTTGTTTTCCTAGCCATGAATCAACAGGAGTTTTACACGATTATATGTAAACCCCAACATCTAATAAAAGTTTCTCTTTAAGTTATCCCTCACCAATTTCTATTCAAAGGTGGAGTTGGAAACTTAAGGGTAAAGTGTCATACCCAAGAACATACTACAAATATGACCTAACCAGGCCTTGAAATAAGTCTTCTGATGCCAACCACTAAACCATTAAATCTCTCTTGAGAAGATCAGATTACGTCAAAAATTTCATAGATTTATGAGTTTTGAATATATGAAAAAAAATTTTCAGGCCTTATTACCACTACTTCATAACTAGGGTTTATTACTGCCAGGATTGCTTTCATACATTTCATGAAACCGCACTACACATATGTGATTTTCATATATTCAAAATTCATTGATGTGTATCATTTCGACGGGTTTTATACAAACCAACATAATGACCAGCTCCCAGTTGGCTTGTTAGCTCAGTTGGTAGACCGCTGCACCGGCATCGCAGAGGTCATGGGGTCAAATTCGGTACGGGCCTAATTTTTTTCAGGCCTTATTTCCACTACTACATAAGTATGGTTTATTACTACGAAGGTGGCTTTCATACGTTTCATAGATCTGTTGTGAGATTGTTTATTTTGAGGGTCAGTAAGAAGAGAATCCCAGAAAGTAGAATGTGCCATCATCTTCAGGCTGAGAGGAAACCCCATTGTTCAATAAACCAGAAACGAAAATACCTTCAGACCACTAACACCCCTTTTTTCCAATGTAGTCTGTTACATGGGTTAAAAGAAACAGCAAAAAATTAATTTGGTGCTGAACAAACGTTTGGGAATGATGCGTGCGGAAAAGAGGTGCTGGGAAAGAGGGACTTAGAAAGAGAGGCTGTTTTGCACGAAATTATTTCAAGTCACGTAATATCCCTAGGGACATTTCTCTATAAAAATGAACATGCGTTTTGAAAATCGTAACGGGAACACAAGGTTCAAGAAAGGGAAAGGAATACAGAATTGTAAGTACAATTAGCTCAAGAACATTACGGCACAGTGCCTGAAAAATAATTAGTGTAATATGTTTATTTCAGTTTGACTTCACATGCTCATAAGAAAGGAGTGCAGAAATAAAATCACCAAAATTTCCCGAGCTGTTAAAGTCCGAATACAAGTTCAATACAGAGGCTATTCGTAGTCTATGATATATAAGGGTCAAGAAAATGGGGTGCGTCTATACCAAAACGTCTCTTTTTGTCTCTACACTTTGAACCTTCTTTCTGCGCCTTTTTCTAGACAAGAATCACAAATAATCATTTTTTCAGGCAACACTTGGCGGAAAGATGAAAGGAAGAAGTGTTCAGTATCATTCAAATATATCGAAAGACGAAGGAAGGATATTTTATGAAAAGTTCATTACCCTTTGTGAGGTATTTTGTGCCAGTAGTTTTGATTTCCTTCCAAGGCTTAAACGTTCTTGCTGCGATAGTCTTCGTCATTCCCACAACCCTTCATAAACTCACAAGTTACAGATATTTCGCAATTATTGTAGACCTTGTACATACTTTGTGGGTATCTGCGCAGCAAACAGACGCGCATGACGATCCTTTTTATACCGTTTTCGTATAGAAGAACCCGTATTCTTTAGTTGGCACTGATACATTTGTTTTATGAAAAATGCAACATTTAGTGCTTCCTTCCTTTTTTCTGTCCCTCCTTAATTAATTTGTGTTTCCCTGTAAGTTCCTCTTGGTTTCTCTTTTCGTTCGAATTTCTCTTTTCGTTATTTAAAGGAAGCAGTCCACGCCAACGCGAAAACTTCACCGGACTCTTCTCCAAAAACAGTGAAATGTGGTAAGATTATCACTGCAAACCCAACCCAACCTTCCCGTTTTAGCGCGCTTTTTGATTTATTGTCTTGATTACGACACCCAATCAGAACAAAGGCAGATGTCACAATTAGCCAATGATAACTCAAAGTTAATTAAACGGAGCGCAGGAAAAAAAGTCAGTGACTAAGTCACGGCGTGGTGCGAATTTTCTAAAACCAACCACCGAACGAGGTTAACCAAGATTAATCCGAATTACTTTCAACGCTCAATTGAAAATGACTTTATTTGTGATTTTTTGGCCAACGTGACCCTTGTTGGTTTAAATGGTGTTTCAGTATTTCTTATCTTACCTTCCTGTTTTCAGGCACATATGGAAACAGACAAGTACTGAGTGTGGAAACAAATGGACCATTTACTCACGTGTTTGACTTTTAGGCCACTTTTGAATACACTTTAAAAACGAAGTTATTTATGCTGTAGAAACATTCAATAGGGATTTATACTTTTAACTGTAATATATAGATTTAGCCAAGCTTAAAAGCGGAGCTCCCAAGTTCGAAATTAATAATTGTTCCACGGGCCCGCGTTGGATATGAGATGATAGGTAGCCAACGAGGCGCGTAGCGCCGAGTTGGCTATAATCATCGCATATCCAACAAGCACGAGTAGAATAATTGTTTTATTAAAAAAAAAATGCCCCCAAGATATTAGACAAATCTTCTCGACTTTATTTTGTAAGAAGAAACCGGATGTTACAATGTACAGATTGTCGCGTTCTCGATGCCGCAAACACGTGGTGTTGTGCACCGGAGTTCGCCAGTATAGCCACAGTGTTGAACTTTAGACAAGTAGCAGCATCAAACTCTTTATTCACTTAAGCTGGCAGTCTTTGTACNTAACAGTTCTTTTTGTCTGCTTGCGTGACACTGTGAAGTGTGAATTCTGGAGCTGTCAATTTCAATTTTCTCTGAGAACTTTTCAGAAAATTGTCTTATAATATTGCTTCATTAAAACAATGAACCTTTCTCAAGCATGGATTGTATGTTTTCATTGATGTTCGGGAGAAAGTGGACCTGATCCAAGATCCGAAATCAATCTTGTCAGGGACTCCCCCTCGTATCTTGCAACAAGAAGATGCGATCTGCGACGAAATAATACTTCCATAATATCTCTTCCTTATTTTCTGATGAAGAGTAGCTTTAATTTTGTTGATAAAAAAGTCTCCGTAAGGATATAGTTTATCTTATACTAAGGGTGTTTTTACCGTCAGAAAACGGCCACCAGGGATTGAATATCGTTTATAATGATAATCTACGTTAGTATCAACTGATAAAAGGATATGTTATATGAAGTAGTTTTTGTGCTTTCCTAGAATCCTCGGGAGTGTATTAAAAGCATGGCTTCGTTTAATGTCGTTCATGTTTACTCGTCTCTTTGAGTATTACCACCCTCCTTGGTGATAGACAGGATAGCAGTACTGAGACTTATTCAAATAGTGTTCAAACTTTAGGTACTGGGAAGTGCTGGAAACCAGTGCAAGCCATGACGCTTGATGAGAAGAGTCTATTTATTCATATTTCTGTTTGTTTTGATAGAATTTTGTGCCCCAAAGGGGCCATTACCCCAACGCGGGATGGTTGAACGGTTTGGATAGAGTTTTGTACCCGTCCGTGTCCACTTTCACCCGTGTTCGGATCATGTCGTGGGAAGTTGGGACACGGATGAAGTGTATTTCGCCGGCGAGAATACGGAAGATCGTCATCCGCGCAAAATACGATGCTTGGCAGCCAATTTTTCCTTGTATTCGATTTGCTTTTTTTATATAGAATCAAAACGAATTTGGTTGGTTTATATAAACTATTCAAACGTTATTAGTTTAAGCATATCAGTCAAGCAATTTAATATTATTCAAACGCTAATAGTATCAAGCAATTAATTCTCCCTACAAGAGCTACAATTTATTTCCAGTTTATAACATTACGTTACCTCACTAATGTCAGATCAGGAGCTACGCCTCCAAGAATGTTCGAAAAATGGAAAAGACACGGTGAAATTGACGTTTAAGTGTGGGCTTTTATGGTATACTGTAATTGTAAGAAAATAAATCGGTTTAGATGGAAAGGAAGCTGCTTTATGGTGATTTATTTTTGTTCAAATTCAAAGTGCCAAAAATCCCAACTGCGTGTCCACGTCTATGAATAATTGGCAATATGTTGCTCATTACGTGATATTCGAGAGACATTACGTGATATTACGTGATATTCGTGACATTTTCGTGATATTACGTGATATTCGAGAGAGCCTACCTGAGCAAGTCGCGCAGAAAGCAAATCTTTCGGACTATAACATTCAACTTTAGAATGTCACTATGTTTAAAAAGAAATTTGGGCTCTTTCTTTGTACGCTATTAATATGTGGGTCTTTTTACAAATTACTTCCAAC